AACAACATACTGAACCATTTTTCATAAAGAAGATTAACACAAAGAAGCAAAATCCTATGAGGAAACTTTCTTTTCAAAAAACTACAAATTTAATTATAAACTTTTCACAAATTGAAATTAATATTGTACCCAAACTAAATCATTTCTCTTTTTCTCTTTTCAGTGATTTCTAGACCTCACTCTGTTCTCTTCACACGCTCCTTTACCCATTTCCTTTCTCCAGCTCCATTTTCCAGCATCAGTCTTCTTTATTGTTTGACTGTTTTGTCAACATAAATCCCAGAGCATACAATCTGATGTAACAACCAGAGAATTTAAGATCAATTTATGTAATCCTACATTTCCTTATTCCTTCATGGGATGCAGATGTCACTGGAAAAGTCAACACTTGTTGCCGATTTCCCTTAAACTGAGTGGCTTCTTAGGGCCAGTTCAGAGGGCAATTAAGAAACAAGCACGTTACTTTTATATCTGGATTCACCTTTATTTATTATGGCAGATTTCCTTCTCTAAAGGGCTCACCATTATTGAGACTATCCTTACATTCCAGATTTATTTATTGAATTCAGATTTGACCAATTACTGTGGTGGAATTTGAGCCCATAGCTCCAGGGTATTTGCCAGGGTCTCTGGATTTCTAATCTAGTGACATGACCACTGCTCCACTACTTCCCTCCGTAGTATAACTACACCAAACAATTCCAATATGACTATATGATTCATTATAAGAACTTAGATACATCATATTCCACAACCTAGTATGACAACAAAGTGGTTTACTTAACTTTTACACTGCAACTATTTTGGGTCTCTACATTTTATACATACTACAATAACTTACACAATATAAAAAGATACAAACATGGCATCAAATCTATCGAAGTGGAGGCAGCAAGATATTAGATAATTATAATATCTCCTAATCATTCTTGTACCAATGTTATATGGCCCATTTAAGCTCTTCTACTATTTTGAAACTGAAATCACAGTAACCAGAATAGCAATTTCCCAGACCCTCAATACGTGGATGAATCATCTTCAACATATCTTTCATCTCATAATCTTTGCCTCAGGCTGGCTTCACAAAGCATACCTGTTGAGCAGAATGTTGTTTTAACTCATTGTGTGGAGATTCCACAAATAGTCTGCCACTGAGGTATACCGTTGTGTGAACACATAATCCTGCAACTCCCTTAATTTTTCTCCCACCTGACAGTATTCACCAGCCTACTACACATTCTCTTGTCAAGCCAGTCTCAAGTGTTTCTGAAATTATACCAAGGCCTCCCTTTGCATCTTCCCCAGTACCGATAATGAATTGTGCATGAGTTTTTATGTTTCTAAGCTGGGTTCATCCATTTGATCCCACTGCCTCTGCTCTATTCCCAGACCCCAGATCAGTTTCACATCTAAAGTAGCCCAAATTTGTTATCATTTCAATTTATTTTTCATTGTACCCCTGTCAAGCTTATTAATCTTTATGAAACCCCACCTCTTAACTCCGGGATTCCCAGTTAATTACAGCTCAATGAATCCTCTTTATAGCTTTACTAGGCCTTCTTCCTTTCAAAACTGATGCCATCATTTCCTTCTCATCAAAACAGCTAAGAAAGTACCGGCCTAACATGTTAACTGTTTCTCTCTCCACAGATGTTGCCTAACTTATTGGCTATTCCCAGCATTTTTAGTTTTTATTTAAAATTTCCAGTACCTGCAGTATTTTACTTTGATATCCATGTTTATTATGTTCTAGATTGTGTGCACCTGATCAAAGATCTGAAGGGTGTTTTGAAAATAAATGTTAATTTTTCTTATGCACAGGAACTTTGTCAATGTAATAATTCATGGAGGTCTGCCTTCTTTATCTCCTACCTGTAAAGGCTTTGCTAGTTGAACAAATTCCTGTGACAAAAACAGCAGTTGTCCGAGGAGAAGAGAAAAATCTGATTCCAAAAGCATTCAGATTAGAATTGAACAAGGTATTTAAAATAAATACTCAACATTATGAATGTTAGTTAATAGATTTCTCCAAGCTCATTCCTTTTTTGCAATTGGTTTTCCCACTTCCTGTCATCTAAAATGAGTATTCCCTTTTAACAGAGACACTGTAAAAGTGCTGAAAGTAATCTAAACAGCACATGGTTTTTCTCAGTCCAGGCTAGAGGTTAAGCTCAGCTTGTTTTGCGATTTCTGGTTTGGCATGTGATCACACAGAGTGACTTCCAGTCATGAAAAACAGATGGCCTGATAGGT